ATCATCTGTATTCCTATAAATATATATCTTCTCAAATTCTCAAGCAGAAGGGAATGCATATTTGTGAGTTTAAGGCTCAGCTTTATGCACTCCTCGCATTAACTATCCTGAGCACTGCCATCCTTTATAAAACCAAATTTCCAGAGCAGCAAAAGAAAAGACTATAAAAGATATCAAAGTTCGTTATCAATCAAAGTAGGACAGGATTGAGCATTACATTAAATTTAATCCCCAGTTTTCTTCTGCTCTTTTACCTCAGTGAGCCAAGATTTACTAACGACTCTACAACAATAATTCTTATATTATCTTCCACATAAGTGAGAACTTATGCTTTTTGAAACAGACACACAGGTCTGAATTCCAACTCCTAAGCTTATCAGTTGAGTTACTTAATCTCAGTGAACTTCACTTATCTACCTTCAAAACCAAATTTATCATGGAGCACTAATGTGACTACCATAAAATAGGAATTAGTTTCCTTCTCAAACTAAGATTCAGTCTCAGAATTCTGTGGCATATCATCTTTATACGCTATCCACTCTGCTTTTTGCAGAACCCTAACCCTGCTTTCTGTCCTCTTTAAAAGTTATAATTTCCTTATCTTTCTTCTAGTAAAATGTCTAAAATCAGACCTCGGCTTAGACAACCTACTGAGTATGTACATTTACTATTAATGTACATGCAGCAAGCATACTGAAGCCAAAAGGCCATTAAAATATCAATCTTATCAATAACTCCTTTACTCAATTATGCACTCAAAGTGTTTTCCTAATAAGTCAGTGAGGAGAAATAACTGTAGTCTCAAACACTAGTCAGATGATGAAATGTAATTTGGAAGCATTATGATCAATAAGGAAAATTTTAGAGTCCAACATTTTACTCAAACAGTATTTTTTCGAAACAGAATTATACATTCTAAGTAGATATTCTACAGATTCAGTCCCAAGTAATTTTTGTCCAACTAGAACTGTGAAATGCCTGTAAAATTTTAAATGTTCTCAAAGTTCTCGGCATTTCAGTAGTATAGATTCAGATCTAGCAACTGAGACAGAGAAAATACAAGCAGAAAAATGATTACTTGCTTTTATGCTTAAAAATGAGAATCTCTTGTACAGAAGCTCCATTCTTACATGTTTTTCTTATTATTCATTAAGTTTATTGGTACATTTTAGGTATACAACATGATGACATTCATCACTGGCAATCTGTACTTTTACATGATACATCTTAGTTCTTATTTTTTCCCCATTCCCCTGCCCTGCCTTCAACCCCTCCACCCCTCCCTATTTACAAAGACTTTGTTTCCTTTTCTCATATTTTTTCCTTTCCCTTCTTTCCTTGCCCCTTCCCTCCCATTTCCCCTTCCCCTTTGGACCTTTTCTTCCCATTTCACATTATCTATTATACATTTTTTTTTTTTTTGGTACCAGGGATCGAACTCGGGTCCTTGCGGTTGCACAGCAGGCGGGGAAACCACTGAGCTAAATCCTCGGCCCCTATTATACATTTTGATCCTTATTTACTTTCAGTTTCTCACACCAAAGAAACTATCTGGTATTTACACATGTGTGTCCTATATATTTCACATAAGAGTGTGGCCTCAATGTGCATCCATTTAGCTATAAATGTCTCTAGTTTCTCCTTACATTTTTAAAATTAGTAAATGAACTCTCAAACAAGTAGTACACATACACAAGTAAAAAAATTGTTTTAAATGTATGTGCATATTAGAAATTTATTCTGATTATTATCTTTGAAGTGCCACCAAACCATCTTACTCATCAATAAAGCAAACAAATCACTTTATTTCAAATAGCTACTCTCTTGATCTAGGAGGAAAATCATATTATAATAATACAGCTCTTGTGCAAATGTTGTCACAGCAAAGTTTTATGACCTATCAATAAGATCTGGTTCCTAAATGTTATTAGTGAGTAGTAGCTCAGTTTATAAATCACTGACATTTCAAATTACAAGATACTATCAAGTGTTTAGAAAAATACTGTTTTTCTTTTCCTTAATTAAAACCTACACATTTAGAAGTTTTCAATTAAATATCATTTTAATTTAATTCATATAAATTTCCTTCAATTATAAAACTCATCAGTTTTTCACTGATGTTTTAAAACTCTGAACCTTTTATTCCCCAACTTACTCTAGCTTAATTCCCAAGAATGTATTTTACTTACATGGTTTTTTCCCCCCTAGGAGTTAAAGATTATCTCATATCTTACTAATTGCACAAAATCACTGCTGAATTCTTTTAAAAAATAAGTTGAATTTAGACAAATAAATATGCTGAGAGAGGCAATTTAACAAAATGATTAGACTCTGAAATCTATACCTATATATGAGGCTTGCCATTCAATAGCTGTATAACTTATGCAAGCTACTAATCTTTCTGTCTTAGCTTCCTTTATCTATTAAACTAGTATAACTACCTACATCACAAGGTTATAAAGATGAAATGAAATCATACATGTAAAAAAGACAACAGAGTGCCAGACATGTGTCTGGCAAATATTACCCCAGTGAAAATAATAAATCTGCTTTATAATACACTATAACAGCAAACAATTTCTTAAAACTTCATTTTTAGCCAGACATGGTAGTAAATGCCTGTAATCCCAGCATTTAAGAGTCTGAGGCAGGAGGATCACCATATGTTCAAGGCCACCCTGGGCCTGGAATACATAGCGACACCCAAAAAACAAACAAAAAACATTTCATTTTCAGAAATTAAATACCATAAAGCCTCAAGATGGATTATGGTATGACTGTATTGCAATACTAGGTTGCTAACATATCCTGCAATAAAGATCACCTTAGCACTGTCCTGCAATGAGACTACTAACCTAATTCAGAGAAACAGGAAGGCTACTTACTGTTAACTGCAACCCACTCATTCAGATCTTCTCCCTCAGGAAGCATGACAGCCATCCTGAGGTTGCCACTGCCAAGGGTAGCTTCTGCATGTTTTAAGAGCTCATACTGGTGAGAACCCTCTGGTATATTTTTCTTTGGTTTAAAAGTTTTAGAAGAGCGACTGCCACTATAAACAAAAAAGAAGAAACATAAAGATATTTCAATTTTTAAGGCAAGATCATCAGAGTCCACTATGCTATATCACCAGATACAATAATATATAGTTGATCTTAAATAACAGCAAATATACTTTTAGCATTCAACGTAAACTGTATTGGCTACTTAAATTCTGGTAATATAATTGCTATAACTAATGCATTCTCTACTCAAAAGACCTATAAACTTTCTTCTACATTCCCTACTCTAACTCAGAAGAAAAAAAATAACTTTGCTACAATTAATCTAGCTCTTCACAACAAATTGATGACCTAGGATTATTAACTGTAAACTACAAAGACAACTACTTCCATTATTATCATTTTATTCCTTCTTCACTCCTATTCTCTCATTCTAACAACAAATAAATTTATATTCTTATAAGAAACATAGAGATATAATGCTCTATCTGTAAACAGAAACATATAGCCAGCCAGGGTGATGCACGCCTGTATCCCAGCATCCTGAGAGACTGAGACAAGCAGATGGCAAGCAGGAGCCAGCCTGAGCAACTTAGCAACTTGGTGAGACCTTGTCTCAAAATTCTACAGGACAGGGCACACTGTGGGATGCAGTTCAGTGTGAGACATTCTTAAGCTTGGACAGCCTGGGCAATATAGTGAGTTCAGGGCCAGCCTGAACTATATAGTGAGACCTGTCTCAAAAAAAAAAAACAACCTCAAAACAAAACAAAAAAATTAGTTAAAAAAAGATTAAAGGGCTGGAGACTTAGCTCAGTGCTCTCAGTCAACCATGTATGCCAAAGGTGTCTGTATCATGGTGGGGCGGGGGCCGGGGGGTTAAGATATATGAATGCACAGCTTCAAAATTTTTCAGAAGCATAAAGCTGGCTTATCACCCCACTCTCAGAAGAGATAACACTTACTAGAATCTTATATTTCTTCCCACTCTATGGCTGTACAAACTTAAGAATGTTTGCGCATACTTCCGTGTCTTTTTACACAACAGGAGCACACAGTTGTATACTAAATAATGTTTTTCATTTAATACATCAAGGAGATTGTTGTACATTAAGGCATAATTACATCTACCATATTCCTCTTGAACATTCATAAAACTTCCTGCTCTGCCCATATCACAATGTAGTTAACCAGCCCCTACTGATAAACATAGAAGTCATCTCCAGTCACTGGATACTGTAAACCATCCTGCACGAAGCATCTTTATGCACATGCATATATGAAAAGATCCCTAGACCTGCTGCTAACTGGCAGGTACACTTTCAAATTTTGTAAAATGTTTATTTTTCCCCAAATAAATTACATCATTTCAGGGCTAGGGATTTAGCTTAGTGGTTCTGCCGCCTGCTTCCCAAGAGCAAGGACCCAAGTTCAATCCCCGGTACCAAAAAAAAAAAAAAAATTACATCCTTTTAAAATCCCAGTAACAATGTATAAAAATAGCTGAGCTTTAAGGACAGTGATTAAATTGCTAATTTCTTTTTCCAGCTCCCAACACAGCTCACAACCATGGGGAATTTAGGGCTTTCTGCCTGAAAACTGAGTATCACACTGTGTATAAAGGGGTAGTGTATTAATAGGTCACAGTATAACCTGAGGCCATTGCTTTTCAAATAAACATCCTAGACATTCAGGTTTGTTTTCCCTGGTCCTTTTGCTCCTACTTGAAGGCAAACCAATTTTCAGAGCAAGACAGGGTGGCCTATCTAGTAAATAACTCAGGCCTAGAAACATCTCTGAACATGTATCTCTTATAGTCTTCCAATTTAATTTATCTTTTATAAATTTAAACATCATATGATTCCTCTTTGAGATCATACAGAACATGTCAGGTTCCATAATGACACCAAGATTAATTCCCATAAACCATTTCCTACCATCTCACCTATCACAATGCTTAAACTCTTTCACTCCAACTATTAATGAAGTTATTTTCTAAGTTGGAATGCAGAATCTTAAGGTTGAAGGACAGAAGGGTAAGAGGAGTATATTTACAAAGATCTAAAAATCAAGACACACTAGTAGTGGTTAAAAGAGATGTATGTCAGATATGGTGGTGCACACCTGTAATCCCAGCAGTCAGAACGAGAGGCAGGAGGATAGCTGTGAATTTGAGGCCAGCCTGGACTACACAGTGAGTTCAAAGCCAGCCTGAACTATATAACAAGACCCTGCTGCCAAAAAAAAAAAGAAAGAAAAATAGATACTTGTATAAATTTGATACTGAAGAGTATGACAACTTATTCAAAGTCACAATCAAATTAACATCTATTAATTTGTATCAACAGTTCCATGCCTTTAAGGTTAAGTGATTTTCTGACAACACAGCTAATTACATGGCAGAACTGGGATTCAGTCAACAGTCCATTATTTTGAACAGCTGAATCTCAGCACTTTACTGAGTCTTACTTAGCTTCCTCATCTATAAAATGGGAGTGGTAACACCTACATTACTAATGAACCCTGTGGCAAGAACTCTATCAATATTAGTTCTCTTTGTTCTGCCTCTAGGTACAGAGCTGATACTCACATCAGTGGCTCCTCTACAAGTCTAATACTAAAGAACAGGCACTGGATAAATATTTGCTAAATGATAGTTCCAAGGATCTTCAAGTTGAGGATTTCTACTTGGGACAGTAATGACGGTAATTATTGTTTATATTTCCTGAAGGATTTGTGCTCAGAAGTATTTTATATGCAGCATCTCATTTAATCCCCATTAACTATGATATACATGCTACTATTTTCTTTATTTTATAACGTGAAATACATAATTTACCCAAGATTATAAAAGCGGTACATTAAAGAACTTAGATTTACAATAAGCAGGATCACTTTTTATTAAAAAGCTTCTGCACGGCAAGAGAAACCACCAACAGTGTGAAGAGACAACCCACAATGTGGGAAAAACTCTTCACCTACTGTTCCTCAAAGGTCTACTATCTCAAATCTACAAAGAACTTAAAAAAAATCAGACCTCTCAAATTTAAAGACCCAATCCAAAAATGGGCATCTGAAATGAACAGACATTTCTCAGACAAAGAAGTAGAAATAGCAAATAAACATATGAAAAAGTGTTCAACATCACTGGTCATTTGAGAGATGCAAAGGAAAACAACTCTGAGGTTCTACCTCACTCCAGGAAGAATGGCTGCTATCATGAAATCAACCAATAACAAATGCTGGCTGGGCTGTGGGGAAAGAGGATCCCCGCTCCACTGCTGGTGGGAGTGTAGACTGGTGCAACCACTGTGGAAATCAGTATGGAGATACCTCAAAGAACTAGGACTGGAAGTCTCATTTGACCCCACTATTCCCCTGCTGGGTATCTTCCTCAAAGAATTAAAAGAATCATACCACGGTGATATATGTGCACCCCTGTTCATAGCAGCACAATTTGTAATAGCTAAACTTGGAAGCAGACCAAATGCCCATCAACTGGAGACTGGATAAAGATGTGGGGTTTTTTATAAAATGGAGTACTACTCAGCCATAAAAAATGAGAAATTAAGAGACATTTATAGCTAAATGGATGCACACTGAGGCGATACTCTTAAGTGAAATAAATAGGACACACGTGTAAATGCCAAATAGTTTCTCTAGTGTGAGAAACTGAAAGTGTAAATAAGGTCTAAAAGGTATAATAGATAATGTGAAATGGGAAGAAAAGGGGAAAGGGGGAAGTGGGAGAGGTAGGGGAAAGGAAAGAAGGGAATGGAATTAATATGAGAAAATGAAAAAATGGAAACAAAGTCTTTGCAAATAGGGAGGGATGGAGGGGTCGAAGGGAGGGCAGGGGAAGGGTGAAAAATAAGAACCAAGAGAGACTATGTAAAGGTGCAAATTTCCAATGATGAATGTCATTATGTCGTATACTTAAAATGTACCAATAAAATAAAATTTTGAAAAAAAAGAACTTAGATTTAAATCTATAAAACCCATTTTCAACTCTGGGACTCTGGTACAACATGTACTTAACAGTTGTTGAGGGCCTGGGTTCAGTCCTCCTCACCTAAGTAAACAAACCTCATTCTCTTACCCACCATGCAATACTAGTCAGGGTTTTACCCTTATTTTATTTTCTATTCAATTTTTTCTAACAATTTTCTTCATGTATTACCATATTTTAATGAAATTACAATACAAGACTAATTCACACTAAGAGTATGACACATTTTAAAAGCAATCTTCAAAATGTCTAATTCTGGGGCCAGGGATTTAGCTCAGTGGTGCTGCTACCTGCCTTGCAAACACAAGGTACTGAGTTTGATCCCCGGTACCATAAAAAAGTCTAATTCTGTTTCCTTTCCTCACACTCTAATTTACATGAATACTTATCATGTACTTTGCCATGAGGGAAAATTCAAACTCCATCTGATAATAATTTCTACTTAATGTTTGCCAAATACATTCATGCTTTCAAACAGGCTGATATACACTTCAAAACGTGTTAGTTGTTCAAAATGGAATGTGTCCTAGAAATAAGTCTAAAAGCTCTAACTAATGAAAAGTTTTTTTTTTTTTTTTTTTTTTTTTTGGTAACAAGGATCAAACTCAGGACCTTGGGCTTTCGAGGTAGGCAGCAGAACCACTGAGCTAAATTCCCAGCCCCTGAAAAGATGATTTTAATTTAAGAAAGACAGCAGTGTGAATAAGCATCCTCAGTACTGATAGGTAGTGCTATTATTTTTGTTACTGTTAGAAAAGTGAGAAATCCTTAACCTGGCTGGAAAACAATAAAGAACAGTATCAGCAGAACAGAAATTAAGAAATTCTGGTAAGACTTAAAAGCTTATAATATGTGGTGACAGGGAAAGAAATCTTTAAACACCTAGGGTTCACATACCTAGTAGAGGTCAGTGTGAAGATAAAAGTGATTACCTCCAAATTCATAATTTGGACTATAGGAGAGAGACACTGGGGTACTTCAGGAGAGACTTTGTGGCAACTTGACCAGAGTTTGCTGAATCCCAATAATCTCCTCTGCTAA